GCCAGACGGCCTTCGGCCCCAGCGCCCTGGACGCGGCCGGCTGCAGCAGCGAGGAGGCGCAGAAGACTCCGGACATGACCATCAGGCTGAGGTTCGCCCAGCGCACGCCTGCCTCGTTCGAGCAGGAGGGGACCGGCAACAGGAGTGATTTACCCCAGGCTTGGTTTTTTCTCGCGAGTGTACAACTGATGCGTATGAGGCTCGTAGATCTCTGAGCAGGCGTGCTTCGTAGATTCGACGAACAAATCAAGTTTGGAGCCAATCAATTATACAGCCGATCCTCTACAGCCGGCCCGTATCATAAGGATGCGCGATGTGGACGCAGGGGCCTGGGAAACCCAGTTCGAAGCTTTTCGAATGGGGCGCGGCCAGCGAACGTGGCCAAGGCAGGACCGAGGAGGGAAGGATGCACGGGCACCCTCGGGGAAGGCTGCTCATCCTTACCATGCGGGTTGGCTGTGCTCGAGCAGTGTGGGAAGGCCCCGTGGGGGGTCACCACCGCCGGGGGTCGCCGCCTCCTCGAGGCAGACGCGGCAGCTGCCCTCGAGGCGGCGCGCCCCGCAGGGAGCACTGCCCATAGGTGACTCCCCGAAAGGCACCAGGCGTCCAGAACCCTCCTCGAGCTTCGACCCTCGACCCCCGATGTCCGGCGCAGCTCCCCGGGAGGAAGCGGGCACCGCAGCACACTGCCAGGGTGGCTTCCAGAACGGCACCGGGCGTCCAGAGACCTCCTCGAGCTTCGGCTTCCTGGACTTCCTCGATCTCGAAGAGGAGCAGGGGACTCCTCCAGTGGTGACCCCCCCCCTGCACTGCCCGGCCTCGAAGCGCTCCCGCGCGGGCGAGCCGGGCTCGGCTGCGGGCCGTGGAAGGACGAGAGAGCGGCATCAGCGTCTACTTTCGGAGTGCCGCGCGGGTCTCCCGGGTCGGCGGTGGAGCCCACCCTTTGTTTCTGCTCGCGCTGCTTCAGGGGAGCGTCTGGAGCCAGAGGTGCAGCAAGGAAAAGTCAGCCAGTGCGATTGGGCGACACCTGCCTGTGAGAATGTGCCTACAGTGGAGGCCCGACCACAAGAAACCTCCCAAAAAGAAGCCCGACCCTGAGACCCCAGGACGTCCATTGACTCTTGGTGTGGGGAAGTCACGCTTTCCATCGCGAGACCATCGAAAACCAAGAAACCCAGGGCACCCTGGAGGCAAGAAGGGTGCTTCTTGACATGGGCCTTCTCTGTAGGTCGGGCGTTGCTTCAGGGGGGGAGGGCAACCAGACGGCGGGGATGAAAGAAGGGGTGCACCTTTCGTGCGCCGTCGGGGCCCCAGGAGGGGCACCTGCAACTCTACGGCTCCACATCCTGAGTAGGGGAGCGACTGCAGAATTTATTTGCTCCAAATGGCATTTTCGCCGAATTCACGAACAATGCCGAGTTGATTTTTAGATCCGACGAGGAAAGCAAGTTTGGGGTATTTCAATTCTGCAGTGGATCCCTTATAAAATCCTGCAACCCTCGGCACTCCCTGGTTGATCTCCCTCCCCCTGTGCGGGGAAGCCCGCCGGAGTGCGCCTGGGGTGGCGCCGGAGGCGCCGCCAGGGGGGCGGGCCCCAGCTCCGCCCCAGGAGATCCGCGCGGGCCCACGAAGGGTTCTGCTCATGCCGTTGTCGGTCCTTCCTGGGATGCCCCAGGAACACAGCGGTCCCCATCCACTCCGTCGCAAACATCTTGAAGGCGAACCAAGCCCAGAAGGTCCCGAACTGCACGCGGAACGCGGGCATGATCGACGAGGGGAGCGCCGTGAATGCTGCAGTCGCCTCAGGCAACGACCTCGGGCCGACTCGCTCGCTCTGGGCCCTAGCCGCGGACTCACAGCCACGATGCGCAGACAAATTTAGGAAGCAACTCCCGGGAGGCCTTGGCAAGAACGGTTACAAGCTGTTCAACAAGGTGAGCGAGCCATCGAACTAGAGCAGCAAAGTTTAAGCCAGGTGGATAAGACCGAGAGGGTGTGGATGTCTGAGGTTGGTCCCCTAAGCTGGGGCCCCCCCTGGCTGCGCGCCTACAGTGGGTGGCCGCCCAGTACGGGGCCGCGCGGGTGGGGCCCGACAGGCCACCTGCGTTTTCGAGCGACGTCCAGCTGCCCGAGCAGCACGCGGAGCTCGGCGATGCCATCGACTAAGCGCTCCACTGCGATGTCCTGCCTTGTCTTGTCTCCTCCCCCCCCCTTTCCCCGGCTCCTCCTCCGCCTCCTCCCTTCCACCTGCCGCCCCTGCCTCCTCCCTCTCCCTGCGATCCCTCCTTCCTCCGTGCCTGCCCCTCCCGATCCCGCCCTCCTCTGCGCTTCGCCGGGCAGGCCGAGCGGGCGGCCGAGCCATCACGGACACCCAGCTGCGGGTCCGCGGAGGTCGCTGCCCTCCTGCCGGATGCCCATCCAGCTGCGCGGGCTCCACGAGAAAACCGAGGGGCAACAGCCCAAAGAGCGCCATGTACGTCGCGGCCATCGCGCTGACGGCCTCCGCGACACTTGCGGGGCCCCCTTCCCTCTCGCTCCATCTCAGGCAAGACTCCCGCCACCACTCAAGGCGCAGGTGGTTCAACGACGTAATGTTGTCCACCCTCCTCTTCCCCTTGGGGAAGAAGCTTACCTCTCCCCCTACCCCCCTTCTCCCTGGGTCTAGAGGGGGAGCGGGCAAGAGAGGTTAGAGCGTCCAAGATGACCCAAGATTTCGGCAAAAGCGCACGAGGGCCCCAGATAGCCCAAGGAGGCCTCCATGATCGCATGAGATAGCACAAGATAGGCCAAGGTAGCTTCGAGCGTGCCCTCAAGAGGCGCCATGACCGTCCCAAGACGGGCCAACACCCTGATAGCATCTAAAGAAACAACAATGTGTGTGTGTGTGTGTGTTCTCGCCTTGTTGGTTCCGATGGGCTCGTGAGGCCTCAAGATGGCACAAGAGAGCCCCGAGAGCCCAAGAGGGCCACAAGGAGGCCCCAAGACTGCCCAGGATCTCCCCAAAGCGGGCTACAGGAGGCGACCTGTTCAGCCTCCGACAAGGGGGCCTGACATACGCACCGTCAAAAGCTTGTTCAACCTTGGCTGCCAAGATGGCTTCAAGAGAGCCCCGTCGGCCTCGAAGGATGCCCTTTCGAGTGGCCAGAGATGACCCTGGAGGCTTTCAAAACTGCCGCAACAGAGCCTCCAGTGCCTCCAAACTTCACCCACGAAGGTCCCACAATGACCCCGAGATCGGGGGCGGCCAAGGGGGGGGAGTCCAAGAGGCGGGGGTGCAAATCATGGCCGGCGGCATGTGCGCGGCCCAAGGGGGGTCCAGGGACATAATGAAATAAGAAGAGTCTCCGCGAAACCTGGGGAAATATCATGGCCCACGCCATGATCTCCACCCCCCCTAGTCATCACCACCCTCTTTGCCGCCCCCGACAAGGAGCCTCCAAGATGCACACACATCGAAAGACCCGAAGATGCATGATGTTTGACTCCTGTGGTCGTGGTCGTGGCCGTGGTGGTCGTCGTTGTCGTCTCCTCCTCCTCCTCCTCCTCCTCCTCCTCCTCCTCCTTGTTCCTTCCCCATCATTTTCTTCCTCCTCCCCTCCTTCCTCCTTCCTGCTCCTCCTCCTTCTCCTCCATGTCCTCCTCCATCTTTTTCCAAACACCACAGCATGCCGCTTCTTTTGACTGGTCAGGGGAACTCGCCCTAGTGTTTATTCTGGAATTGGCTGTGTGGGACACGAGAAGCGTCAAGAATGCGCGGGCCCCTCGAGTTGCCTGGAGGACTCTGGGGGCTCGTGTCCTGGCGCGGCGTATGTTGCCACGTGGACGTGCCTGGGAGCTGATTTGCGATTGGCCGTGCAAGGTTGAGGTATGGCACGCGGAACGCCACGCTTGGCAGGGGGTCATCTGAGGCGGACCGGAGCAGGCCCAGCGCGAACACGTTGAGGCACAACAGGAAACAAGGTCACTCTCCACCCCCCATGCTTTTCGGGAGGCCCTCAAGGAAGTCTCGTCACCGACGCTCTCACACAGAGTACGTCGTATCGATCTTTGCACTGCGAGACGAATGGGGTCAGACAAGGAGACCTACAGAAGAGGCCGATACCACAATCATCCTCGTCCTCATCCTCATCTTTATCCTCAAATCTATCCTCCTCACCGTCATTATCATCATCAGCGTCATCAGCGTCGTCATCATCATCATCGCCATCGTCATCATCTTCATTCTCATCACCGCTTTCTCACCCTTGACCCGTCTCGACTCAGAATGCCGGGCTGGCGCGGTGGCGGGACTTGCTGGACTTGCCGCAGGCAGCTGGGTATGGGCGTTGATCGCCTCACCCCCACCATGTACTCACTGGTAGTTTAGGAACTGCATGGGTGCCGTCTCATGCACCTGCACTGCCCGATCTGCTTCGAAATTGGCGTGAGTGTTCCCGTATGCCTGTTCTGATTCATGCTTCTGGTACAATTGCCGCCGCCAGTGCCGCGTATGCACCTGCAGTGCTCGCCAACGCGTAACATCGCGCTGCGTTGTCCTCATCAGGCTTATTGTTTTCTAGCAGGTGCTGTTCCTGGTGCGCTGGCTGAGCTTCAGGTCCATTCGCAGCTGATCTTCCTCCAGTCGAGCCTCCCCTCGATACTGCGGGACGGTGTTTTACCGGCTCCATGTTATTCTCTACTCTCATGCTGCACAGCGGCCGCACCCGCTTGGTGGTATCCGACGGTGATCTTGATTGGATTGCCCCTGTCTCTCGTTCACCATGTGAGCGTTTTTGTACTCGGCGTTTCGACATTGGGCGGAAGGGGGGGAAGGGGGGGCCTGGCTCCTGATACCTGCTTAGTGCGCCTGTTTGCCACCGTGCGGCCTCTGGGGGAAGGACTCTTATCTGCTCGAAACAGGCGCACAAAAACAGCCAAGATCTACTTCATGGGGGGAGGGGGTGTTTCAGGGCCCGCGCCGATCGGCAAAACAATGAATAAAAAACGCTCACCATAGGTCGTTCCAATTGTTTGCATCGCTGCTGGAGCCCAGCATGGCCACGATGCGCTGTCGACGCAGCCTGCACTTGGCTGGGCCCGCTGCCCCTCGCCTAGAAGACCTCGCGTCATGCGAAGTCCTTGCTGCCGCTGGTCATCTCCTCCTCCGCCTCCTGCGTCTCCTCCTCCGCCTCCTCCGATTCCATCTCTGACCGTGAGAAGCGATGATTGTCGAGGAGTGGGGTCAGTGGTCTTCTCCACTCGCAGCGCACTGCGATCCCATGCCAGCGCAGGCCGCTGGCGGTAGCGCCGAAACTTCTCATCCAATGGACGAATGACGTCACCACGGCGAGGAGCTGAAACGGAGCCCCTTCGCACGTCCATTCCACAAAACATTGCAGGTGGTGGGCTGCGCTGGGCAAGACGGCGTGCAAACACGTGGGCTGGGGGGCTGCGCCAAGCGAGCGCGCCCAAGCGTCCGAACGGGTGGACGGGCGAGCCGCGCGTGCAGCGTGCAGGAGGAGACCAGCCGGCTCAGCGGGTGCGATGGGCGGCAACGGCAACCGCGGCGCGAGCCGCTGGCGGGACTGTGAGCCAGGGCTGGCGCCGAGTGGCGGCGGTGCCCAAGCAGCTGGCCCCCGATTCGCCCTTCGCGACCCGCGTGCGCCCGATGGGCGGCGCAGGGGGGGGCGAGGCCGAAATGGATCTTCGCCTTTTCCGCCTCTTCGTCCTCTTCGTCGTCGTCGTCCTCCTCCTCCTCCGCCTCCTCCTCCTTTTATTGCTCTTTTTCTTCCTATTGTTTTCTTCCTCCTCCTCCTCCCCCTCCTCCTCTTCCTCCTCCTCCTCCTCCTCTTCCTCCTCCTCCTCCTCCTCCTCCTCCCGCACAAGACTTGGGGTTGGCGGCGTGGGCGCCGCCAAGCGGCGCTGCAATCCCCCCCCTTCCTCCTCGTTCTCCTCCTCCTCCTCGTCCTCCTCCTCCTCCTCCTCCTCCTGTTTCCATAAGGCGCTGCCACAGCCTAATGCCTGTGGGCGTTCGCCCGCAGGCTTGCGAACCAAAGAAACAATACGTATGCATATCAGAGAAAGGCCCCAATCAGTGGATGGCTTGAAGAGTAGTGATATGGATGGTGAGATCGATCGTAAGGTGATCGGGCGATGTATAGCGATATTGATTATTGGTTGTGAGATCGAATGTGGGATCGATCGTGAGATCGATCGTGAGACCGTTTGTGATTTATTCCTCTTCTTATACTTTTACAGACGTGGGCGGGGGGACCCCCCCCAAAAAAAAAACGGATTTCCGGAATCTGGGGTTGTGGGACCCTCCGGACGGGCCGCGAAGCGGCCCCCGGGCGTCGCAGGGCGTTTTGCCAAGCCTTCCCAGGACACCTAGAGCGATCAGGGGGGTCATCGGAAACGTCCCAGAGACCCCCAAGGCAGCACAAGAGCGCTCCAAGAGTGACCGACGTGACCTCAAGATGGCCGAAGAGGCCTCCAGGACGGCCCCAAAGAGGCCTCCAAGAGCACTCCCAAGAAGGCCCCCCGAGGCAAAAATCACTGATTTTCTGTTGGCTTTTGGTGAGTTTTGGCGTTACCTTCTGTTCGGCTTCCCGACGCTCCAAGACGGCGGTCTTCTGGGCGTCCGAAGCCGCATGGGAGGCTCCAAAATCGCCCCACAACCATCCGAAAGGGCTCCCAGGCAGTCCAAGAGAGCCCCAAAACGGCACAACACGGGTCCAATATGGCCCTCAGAGAGCCCCATAGCGACCCAATATGGCCCAAAGACACCCTCCGGAAGCATTCCAAGTCGTGATTCGGTCGTTCAGGGAGACCGCGGTCGGAGGCAGGGTGGCCCGAGGAAACCCCCGGAGGCCCCCAAAATACGCCCAGGGGGTCTCCAGAAGGCCTTAAGAAAGCCTGAAACAACTTTTGTGAAGCCCCTAGAGGCTCTCCAAGGAGGAGCCCCCTCAAAAAAGAGCTGTGGAGGATGGAGAGAATGCGCACGGCATGGCGGAAGTAAGGAGAAAGAAGCATGGAGGAAGGACAACGAATAACATTATTATAGCGGCGATGCCAGACAAGGCAAGCAGGAAGTATCGCTAAATTGTCGGCGTGACCTCCCTGCTATTCCGCCTGCATGCCAAACTTCAAGGACCAAGGTGCACGGCGCGAAGCGCCACTGCGGTTGGAGGCAAGGTGGCCCGAGGAAGGCGCCCTGCCCCGCGCCATGCACCTTGGTCCTTGAAGTTTGGTACGCAGGCGGAATAGCAGGAAGGTTAAGCCGACAATTTAGCGATCACTCCTGGTTGCCTTTTCTGGCATCGCCGCTATTATAATGTTATTCGTTATCCTTCCTCCATGCTTCTTTTTCATTATTTTCGCCATGCCGCGCGCATTCCCCCCCCTCCGAGCTCTGGGCCAGGAAGTGCAAGGGGCCCCTAGCCAGACGAGGCGACAGGCAGGTGCGGTGGCAAGCTCGAGGAAGGCCTTCCAGGCCTCTTGTCTAAGGATGTCCTGGCTCGG